AAGCACTCCATTCTCCTCCACCCCCACCAAACTCTTCAGTATCCCCCACCCACCTGAGCTCTCCATTCTCCCCCACTTTCCTAAGCCCTCTCTCTTCTTCCTCAACCCCCCTCAGCACTCCCTTTCCCCCAACATCCCCCCCCAAGCCTACCTCTCTGTTATGCCCCACAAGGCCCCCATTCCCCCCATCCCTCCAAACACTCCCTCCTCCCACACCCACCAAGCCTCCCCTTCTCCCACACTCTCCCAAGCCTTCCCCTCTCACCCCCCCCCCCAGCCTCCCAACCCCCCAAGCTCTCTTTTCTCCACAACCCCCTCAAGCCCTCCCCCAACACCACCCTTCCAGCCCCCACACAGCCCAGATCCCCCAGGTCCCAATTTATAGGGAGGTGCACCTCCCTTCCTGGTGCCTCCCTGTTTCCTTGCTTCAGGGGAAGCAATACGATCTGAGAAAGGACAGAAGAGAGTCAGTTTCAGGGTGATGTACTCGAACATAGATGGGATCACAAGCAAGGCAATTGAACTAAGGGAAAGAGCACAAGAAGTGAACCCAGATGTAATCGAACTCACAGAAACAAAACTCTCTGGAATCATAATGAATGCGCTGTTTCCCCAGGACTACACTGTAATAAGGAAAGAGAGGGAAGGAAGGGGAGGAGGTGGAGTGGCCCTACTAACGAGAAAGGAATGGAGTTCCAAGGAGATGGTCATCCCATTCTGTGAGGGATTTAGAGACTACATAACAGGCACCATGGCAATGGGAGGACCAAAAGTAGTAGTAGCAGTGATATATAACCCTCCACCAAATGACAGAAGACCCAGGCAAGAGTAAGATAAAAACAACACGGCAGTTAACACTATAATTGAGAAGGCAGCCTCTGCTGCCTGTAGAAATAGATCCCATCTTCTCATCATGGGGGACTTCAATCACGGAAGGATAGACTGGGAGAACAAGGAACCTCATGGAGAGCCAAACTAATGGAGGTGGCGACAAGAAACTTTCTAAGCCAACATGTCAGAGAACTCACTAGGATGAGAGGAAATGACAAATCAGCGAGACTCGACCTAGTATTCACTCTGAACGACTCCGACATAAGGAAAATCGGTTTCAAGGCCCCAGTAGGAATGAGCGATCACAGTACACTGGTGTTTGAGTATCTGGTTGAAGAAGGGTTATTGAACTCGAGGAGGGGTACTGAAAACAAAAGGCTGGCATTCTGTAAGGAAAACTATGAGGAGATAAGAAGATTCCTAACAGACATAACATGGGAAACAGAGCTCAGGGAAAAGATGGCCCAATACATGATGGACTACATCACGCAGAAGTGCAAGGAGGCAGCAAACATGTTTGTCCCAGTCCAAAAGGAAGACAACGAAATGAAGACGAGATACCCATGGTTTAATCGATATCAAATTCTGCTTTCAGACAACACACAGCCCCCTTGTTTAACTCCCTAAACATGCTAAACATAATCTCACTCCACAAATTCTCCTGTGTCAACTACATTTACAAAACCCTGTTCTTAAATGCAAATCCTTGTCTGAAACTCTTCCTGGACAGATGTAATAGGACCCATTATCACCACACCAGAAATAAATATCTCTTCGATATCCCCAGAGTTAAACTTAATCTGTGTAAACACTCTATGCAAATAAAGGGACCCAGTTTATGGAACTCACTCCCTACTGAATTGAAAAGCTGTCCAACTTTTACTTCATTCAAAATCAATACTAAAAAGTACCTAATTTCATCTTCATAGTTTTTCACTTTTTGCCTTAAAATTGCACTGTATCTATTGCTACCCAATCTCCCAACCTTTATGTTCCCAATTTGAACATCTTTACCATTGAGACCATTGCTGTTTTCTTATATGTGCTCCCAATCTGTTGTATGATGTTTATAAATCTTGTTATCTGTATCTTTTGCTACCCAGTCTCCCAATCTTTATGTACCCATTCTGAACATCTTTACCATTGTGATCATTGCTGTCTTATATGTGCTGTCAATCTGCTGTATGGTGTCTATTAATCTAGTTTAAATTACTAATCAAGCTGTCAATGTAATCAATCAGAGCTTTAATATAACAATGTGCTTTAATATACTTACTTATCTCTCTCATCTCATTTTTCTCGTGTAATGTATCTTTCATTTATCAATTCTGATTGAAATTACCTACTTAAAATTATCTGCTAGATTAAGGACCTGCCCGAAACGCTGCGCGTACTAGTGGCTTTACAAGAACGTAAATATTGTACTATCCAATGTATTCTCTCAAACCCAATGTACCTTCTTGTATATGTATAAATAAAATAAAATAAAATAAAATAAAAATCAGAGATGTAGGCTAGCTAAGCAACAAAGTAAAAGGGCATGGAGAAACTATAGGAATAACAGGACACTTGAGAACAAAGAAAGATACCAGAGTGCCAGGAATAATTATGTCAGGATGAGAAGAGAGGCAGAAAGACAATACGAAATTCACATTGCAAGCAAGGCAAAGACTCAACTTAAATTGCTGCACAGCCACATCAAGAGAAAAACCACTGTAAAGGAACAGGTAATGAAATTATGGATAGGGGAAGAAGGGTTCACTACAAACGACAAGTAAGTGTGTGATGAACTGAATAAAAAATTCTAGGAGGTCTTCACCTTAGAGCAAGGAGAAATTCCAGAGATAACAGTGGGAATAGTTAACCAGGAACCACTAGAGGAGTTTGAGATTAGCAGTGGGGAAGTAAGGAAGTTGTTACTACAGTTGGATGTGACAAAGGCTATAGGCCCAGAAGGAATCTCCCCTTGGATACTAAAGGAAGAAGCAGAAGCACTGTGCTTGCCACTCTCCACAGTGTATAACAAGTCACTGGCAACAGGGGAACTGCCAGAAATTTGTAAAGCAGCTAATGTAGTCCCAATATACAAGAAAGGGGATAGACAGGAGGCACTGAACTACAGGCCATTGAATGAATAGTTCAACAAATGGCTGCTCAAGTTCAACCCGAGTAAATGTAAACTAATGAAACTAAGTGGCAGAAACAGAAGGCCAGACACAGGATACAGAATGGGAGATGAAGTACTTCATGAAACGGACAGAAAGAAAGATCTAGGGGTTGATATCACACCAAACCTGTCTCCTGAAGCCCACATAAAAAGAATTACGTCTGCGGCATATGCGAGGCTGGCTAACATCGGAACAGCATTCAGGAACCTGTGTAAAGAATCCTTCAGAATCATGTATACCACATATGTATGATCAATCCTGGAGTATGCGGCCCCAGCATGGAGCTCGTACCTTGACAAGCACAAAACAAAGCTGGAAAAAGTTCAGAGGTATGTCACTAGACTAGTCCTGGAACTAAGAGGCATGAGTTACGAGGGAAAGGCTGCGAGAGATGCACCTTCCGACACTGGAAGACAGAAGAGTATGGGGAGACATGATCACTACCTACAAAATCCTTAGGGGTATTGACAGGGTAGACAAGCATAAACTATTCAACACTGGTGGTATGCGAACAAGGGAACGCAGGTGGAAACTGAGAACCCACATGAGCCACAGGGATGTTAGAAAGAACTTTTTCAGTGTCAAGAGTAGTTAACAGGTGGAATGCATTAGTCAGTGATGTGGTGGAGGCTGACTCCATACACAGTTTTAAATGTAGATATGAGCAGTTTTGATTGGACACGTTCTGGCGTACCTGTTTTTCGTTGCAGTTTTGATGGGACACGTTCTGGCGTACCTGTTTCTCATCTCAGTTTTGATGGGACACGTTATGGCATACCTGTTTTTCGTTGCAGCTTTAATGGGACACTACTTGGCGTACCTGTTTTTCGTTACCCCAGTGGGCCATGCACAGACATTGCTAATGGTCAATGACGTCACCCCCGTCTTCATCTTCCCTGTGTAAGTCCGTTTTCTGTTATAGTGTAATTATTCCCATTTTCAATATTTATAGCAAAGGGGGATTCAAATGCTGCCTTCTGTCAAGTCTAATGTGCAATGGCGTTAACCATTATAAGCTCGTTTTTTCACAATTAGGTATTACCATACGGTTTCCCATTGTCTAAGATCATTTTATAGCTAAGATTACATAATAATAACATAAGAAATGAGTTCAAACCCTGTTTACAGAACCAGTATTTACCTAGGTCTTTTTCCTAAATATAAAACTTATCCAGTTCATTTCCTATTCTGTTTCATGTTGATACGTATAATAGGTTAATAATATTCCCCTTTACTATGACCATTCAGTCACACCTCTATCATGTCACCCCTATTTCTTCTTCGTCGTCGTCGTTCTAGAGAAAGTAATTTGAGCTTTGACAATCTTTCTTAAAGGAATGTTTATTATACATAGGGCAAAAAATAAAACTGCTATCAGTCGTTTATATTAAAAAATAGAGGCCTGGGCATTTGTGATTTCAATGCGAGTTCGGTAGTGACCCTTTCCTTATGCTCGTCTCACATTCGCTCAAAACATACCTCCCACACCATACTGTAGCATTTAACAAATAAAAAAAACTCATTCAGTAAAAGCATGCCTCTCATATTTTGAAATAAGGCCTTCTGCAGTTACCGCCTTTTGTGACGTCATCATCCCTAATGTGGCACGAGGCGTCAACGGGCTAAATGCGGATCCCAGGAGGTTCACACATAAGTGTGAACTCTTAATCTAGCTTAATACCTCACCTATACTCTATGCTTCATCAAAGTTGATATTCAGCTACAATAGCTCGTATTTTCGCTCATTACTTATATTTTCTGTTATTCATAAACCCGATCAAACCTTCCTAACCTAACCTAACATATTATTTATAACAAACAAATACATTCTACAGAACAGTTATTGTTGTTATTTAGTGACATCGTGTAAAGCGAGCTCAGGTATAGGGTTAATGTATTGATGGTCATTAGCATATAGGTGTGAAGGTATTACAGTACCTTACTGGTTAGCTATGTATGACGTCACCAGACAACCAATGCTACCTTTGGCGTCCTACTGGCATTTGTATTTGATGTTATTAATCAAAAATGACTAGACTAACCATCCCCACCTAACCTAATCAGAGGTTTAAGAATATACATTTTAGTCATCTGCGACTGTAATCATTCATTATGCAGTAATAAGTTCAAAACTAGAATAGATGCCCAAATGTCGTACCGCAAATTTTAGAAGCATCGTACGACTGGCAGCACAGCTGGTAAGCTGACCTGGCCGCCATTCCCCAGTCAAATAGGTCAGTACATCTCTAGCTCTCCCAGCCAGCACAAGCAGCCAACATCGCTCCTGGACATTTCACCAGACCTCTGTATTATTCAACAACAATACGCAACCATGGAAACTTGTCCTTTCTGCAATAAGCCAAAGCAGGGGAAATTGCACTTGTGCGAAGTAAGGTGCATAGAATGTCGTATTTCATATACAGCCAACTCGCGTCGTGAGTGTGTGTTATGCTGTCCCCAGTGCGTTAATATCCCTCGTGGACATTATGATGCAGTCTGCACCTCGTGCTCCAAAATCTTCTGCACCAGTCGTGAGTAATATTTATATCAGCAACACTTGCTTCGTTTATGATCAAATAATTTTATATAGAATTACACCAGCAGCATGTGATATTTTATAAAAAAATATTGCCTACCAGCTTCAGTAATATTGTTTTTATTTGCATAAGTAATATTACTGTGATCCACAGGTCGCGACCCCGAAACCTGTCCATTTTGCATGAACCTGGATGTTGATGACGATACAGAGTCTGACACCAGATACGATTCTGAAACCTCAGAAGCTTCATCACCTCAGAGCGAAAGTGAGTTAATATCCATCATCAGTATTCATTATTAATTTTATTTATCTGAGATAATATTGCACTATTCCCATCATTAATCAGTCATTTAAAAATATATATGTTATGAATTCTAACTAACATCTACAAAAAAATAATTTTTTTTTTTTCAGGATCATCTGTTGAACAGTTGGATGAGGAATATCCTCGTGGAGGAGGGAATGAGGCTGGAGAACCTAGCACTAGTCAAGCTCGTACACCGCCATTAGAAGATAGTAACAATAGCAGGCCAAGTCTAGATCGTAAGTATCATCCTCAGTGATTATTTCCATAACCTTGCATTATTTATTTGTAAACATTCCTATATTAAATTTATATTTTTTATTAAAAATCTCAATTCTTTTACTCTAGGTAGCCATCTAGAGGATGAGGACTCCCTGCATTTGGTTTGGGAAGCTGATTCAGATGTGGAAGCCAGCCAGCCTATCGCTAATTCTCCACCACCACCTCAGGAACAGCAGCAGCAGGTAGATGATTTGCTTCCTCCTCAACCCGAAGTTCTAGAAGTGATCAATAATTTCAATGGGGGGTACATACGCCATTCTTATAGCATCCCAGATCATGCCCAAGGAGATCCTGCCCATTATTTGACTATATATCGTGATTATTTTATTCGGCAAATAGAATCCTTGTTTGATGCCGTTCACCCCAATTTCCCTCCTGCCCTCTTGATATATCCTGATTTTACATTCAATTTACAACGGCTAAATCAAGAAAATGAACCTGATTTTGAGGGAGAGTTACCTATAAGGGCCGAGCAACGCACTGTATCTAGGCATGAGGCTAGTGTTGTCGTAGATCAATGGATTGCTGAACTGGACAATAAGTTAGAAGAGTTCTTTGCCGAGACAGAAGGTTCGAGTCTAGGTATACAGAGCATTTCTGGTTTTTATATCAATTCCATAGCAGTTCAGCACCCTATCCGTCTAGGAGAATACGTGCCTTATCCAGATAAATTGCGTGGTTCGAGACATGTTTTCAACCCTAAAGGGGAGCAAAATATATGTTTGATCCAATGTTTAGCAGCATATAAATGTCTTGCTCGGGGGATGGACTTACGCAACATTGGCAGGCGTTCCAAATCAGCCAGGTGGTGTCTTAGATTCGTCCGTTGGAGTGAGGATATTGAAATTCCCATAACGTATGATAACATTAATAAAATAGAAAGTATAAATAAATTAAGTATTTTTATCTATGTGCTCACTCGTGAAGAAAATAGATACTACATTAGCTTAGCTAGAAAAGGCAGGGAACATTCTGCACCTAAAGTACCTTTGCTCATGCTGGAGGATCAGCATCTTGTACTCATTAAAGATTTCAATCAATATGTTCGCAACATGCGCGGTAATGCAAATAATATTCCTAACAATCATATTTTTTGTCACTCGTGTTTAATTCATTTGTCACCTGATGCTATGCGGGATCATGAAGAGTCATGCGAAGTTAAACAAACATTGAAATTTTACCCCGAAGGTCATAAAATCAAGTTCAAAAATTACGGTCGTGCTTATGGACCTTCTCACACGGCATATTATGATTTCGAGTGCTTGTTAGACCCCTCCAATCCCCATGGTATGATCGAGAAGCGTCACAAAGCCGTGGCATATGCTTTCATCATCATCAACAGGGAATTGGAGGTTGTAGAGAAATTAACGTATATGGGGGATGATCCTGTGAATCATTTCATAGATACTTTGGAGAAAGCATGGAAGAGAATCAAATCTACCATGCCTACATACAAAATATCTATGGCACGTGAACATTGGCAAGCCTATAGACTTCAAACCACATGTGAAATGTGTTATAGTCCATTCAAATCAGCTATGGACAAGCACCGTCATCATGATCATGCTATAGAATTTAATAATTATCTTGCAGCCTATTGCCGCAGGTGTAACATGTTATGCAGAAACTCATATAAATATTTATATACATTCTCTCACAATGCGGCTTATGACCTCGGGGTAATTTTAAATGAATTGTCTAACCTCCCTAACCGTGAAATTGACATTGCCTCCAAAGATGGATTTAAGTTCATGAAAGTAGATATCGGTAAACTTCGGTTTATGGATAGTCTGGCTTTACTAAATGGTGGGCTTGAAAAACTAGCTAAAGAACATATCAAGGAAGGTAAACCTACCACTTTCACCTCAGTTATGCTAGATGACGTCCCTGTAGCTGCCCACCATTTATTAAAGACAGGCAAACAGGTCTTCTGCTATGACTACATTTCATCTTTGGAGAAATTAAATGAACCGGCTCTTCCTCCTCCCGAAGCCTTTTTCAATAGTTTAAAACACGAGACCATAAGCGAGACCGATTATACACAGGCTAAAGAAGTCTTTAGATTAGCGGAATGCAAGACCATTGGGGATTATTTAAAGGTCTATTTGAAAGTAGATACTGGACTATTGTGTGATGTGTTTACTGTATGGCGCAAGACCATGCTTGAGCTGTACAAGTTAGACATTACACACTATGTCTCGTTATCTAGTTTTGCATGGGACGCTTTCTTGTTTAAGAGTCAAGTTGTCTTGGACTCTATTTCTGATCCCCATTTGTACGATGTATTGCGCAGAAATCTAAGAGGCGGATTTACCTCTGTTGTGCGGCAACACACAAGTGTACAAAATGAGCATACGGGTGCTGATCCTTCTAGCACCAATAAATATATTCTGTATTTGGATTTTAATGGCTTATACGCCACCTGTATGACAGAACTGCTTCCTCAAGGCGGGATCCGTAAATTATCTGCTGCCGAATGTGATGATTGGCTCCAACAAGGATTGGAAAATATTACATGTGATGGGGATAAAGGGTATTGGGTCATGTGTGATACCAAGCATGTCGCACCTGAGGTGGCTCGATACACCGATGACTTACCTTTAACCCTGTCACATGCTAATATTTCAACTGATCTTCTCTCCGATTATAGCAAACATATTTTAAATACCGAAGATCGTAAACTCCCCAAGATATGTTAGATGAATAGTTTAGCACTAATAATGTTGATATCTTAATGGAAAAAGAATGTGTTATATATTGAGCTCATCGGAAGTCATATGAACCATTTTTTTTACGTGAAATTCTGACTTTTGGGGAGTTGGTTAAACTCAGCATATTATAATTAATGTCCTAAATATACCCGGAAAAATATCATGCAAATTGTGTATTGTTTGACCTAGTTGGTTGTGTTTGTACATATATAGCACAATTATTATACTTGTGTATTAATTGTGCAGATTATGTATTTTGCATAAGTTGTATGATTATTGCAATTATGTATTGATTATATTTCTATAAATTGTGTATTGTTTTGTGCAAGTTGTATGTATTAATTGTATATGTTTTGTATGTGTATTTGTAGAAATTGCATAGTTGTGTATTTAATGAATATGTGCTAGTTATGTATTGTTCATATTTTGGTAAGTTGTGTATTGATTATATTTTTGAGCAAGTTGTGTAAATGTCGCAATTGTATTTGTGTAAATCGTGTATTTATGGTAGTTGTGTATTTTCATATTTGGGGGTAGTTATGTATTGTAAGTATTTGTGCTAGATATGCATTTGTACAAGTTGTGTAATAATTATGAAAGATGTGTAATATTTGTATAAGTTGTGTATTAATTGCGCCTGTTGTGTAATTGCATATGGACGAATTGTTTATTTATACCTTTGTGTATTGATTGTCATTGTGCAAGTTGAGTAATTATATAGCAAGTTTTCTTGTATTAATTGTGCAAAGATGTAAAATAATTACACAAACTGTGTAATAATTGTCCATGTTTTATAATAATTTTTGTGATAATAGTGCATTTATGCAAGTTGTGTTTTTAATTTGTTGAAGTGGAACTGGTGCAACTGTATTTGTGTGTGAAAATTGTGTATTTTGTGTAAGCTCTGTAATCTGATAAAATAGATCTTCATGGGGTAAGTGTATTTTGGTTTATGAGACAATGTGTGGGTATTTTGTGAAAATTATGTTTGCGAAATTGTGTAATTTTAGTGAAAGCGCATTTTTGATTGTCTAAATGTATAAGCATTTTGATATATTTGTGCAAAATACCGTACTTTGTGTAAATGTCATACTCTGAGTGTACATGCAATATTGTGTAAATGGTATATTTTTTTGTGTGCAACTGACATATTTTGTATGAAAATGTCATATTTTTATGTGATGGTATATTTTGAGTGTAAATAATATATTTTGTGCATAAATGGCATATTTGGTGTGTACATGCTGTATTTTCTGTGTGTATGGCATAAATTACATCTGATTAATGGGGAAATGGTGGCAAAAAAACTAGGCTATTCTCTATGAATGCATAGGTTTTGAAGTATGTGTAGGTATGCATGATTGTATTTGCGAATGTTGGTTTAGAAACAAGTTACCTGATTTGCGTAGCAAGACTAGGATTTTTTGAGGTGTAGAAATGATTAGCCTATGAATATAGTGACTAGCATCCAGCTGAGTTGCTAGATGGATGAATTGATAGACTATTAAAATTATCAACACTAGACAGAATATGAAACAATGGACATAAATTGGAATAAGTTTTAGATTTAGGAAAAAAACCTGGGTAAATACTGGTTTTGTAACAGGGTTTGAACTAATTTCTTATGTTATTATTATGTAATCTTAGCTATAAAATGATCTTAGACAATGGGAAACCGTATGGTAATACCTTATTGTGAAAAACGAGCTTATAATGGTTAACGCCATTGCACATTAGGCTTGACAGATGGCAGCATTTGAATCCCCCTTTGCTATAAATATTGAAAATGGGAATAATTACACTATAACAGAAAACGGACTTATACAGGGAAGATGAAGACGGGGGTGACGTCATTAACCATTAGCAATGTCTGTGCAGGGTCACCGGGGTAACAGAATTTGGGTGTGCCAGGGACCGGCTTTTTAATCCTACCCCAGGCAAATTGAAGACTGGCTACCCGATGACGTCATTGACCATTGGCTATGCCTGTGCATGGGACCGGCCATGAAAGAAAATTCGAGAAAACCCTGGGGCCAATGACCGGCTTTTTAATCCCCTTTAACATGCCTCTGCAGGGTCACTGAGCTAACAAAATTTGGGGATGACTGGAGGCGGCAGTTTAATCCCCTTGAGCGAAAATGGCAGGGGCCAATGACCGGCCATGAAAAAAAATTTGAGAAAAACCCTGGGGCCTACGACCGGCTATGGAAAAAAATTTGAGAAAACCCTGGGGCCTACGACCGGCTTGGTGCAAAAGTTCGTAAAACCCAGGGGCCTACGACGTGCATAGGAAAAAATGAAAATTGCACGTCGTAGGCCCGGTTTCCACTACTGATATGATAGAGCCCAGTAGGCTCTGTACACTAGTTGATTGACAGTTGAGAGGGGGGACCAAAGAGCCAGAGCTCAATCCCCGCAAGCACAAATAGGCGAGTACATCCCGAAAGTAAAGAACACCACAGTACTTGGACTCACATCAGACTTCAACCTCCGCCTTCACACACACACACAGTATCCAAGAGAGCTATAGCCTCCGAAGCTCTACCCCCTCAGACATGCCTCTCAGGCTACCAAGCTCTATCTATGTAAAACATTCATTCTCAGACTCCTAACATATGCATAAGAACATTTAGACGGCTGAGACTTCGGGAGGAAACGAAGGAGGAGGAAAGTGTTGACGGGACCTCATTAAGAAGGACAAACGGGACCAGTAATAAGAAGACCTCGTCTTGGCAAGTTGTGAAAGACAGGGGTCTTAAGAAGACCTTGGCAAAACCGACAACTAATTACCTACACCTAAGGACTTTTAACGCATTTGCCGTATTAGAGGACGAGTGCTGTGGTGAACCTGTTGTTCAACGAGGAGGCAAAGACAAAGTAACGAGGAGCATTGAAGCGCAGGTCCCTCAAACTGCTCGAAAGGAAAAGGGAGAATCGAAGCGAATTTTGGTTGTGGAAGATTCCCAGGTGAGGTATTTAGACAGAACGTTTTGTGCCAGAGATAGGGGGGAACAGATTAAGGGTTTGCTATCCGGGAGCTGGAATTGGTGATATTGTTGGAAACATGAATGATATTATGACGGGAAATGGAAACAAACCCATTATTTGTATTAGTGCAGGGGGTAATGATGTTGGGCGAGTTAGGAGTGAGCAACTAATACAGAGATTCAGGACAGCCATTGAATTAGTTAGGTGCAAGGGAGGAATCCCGATCATATGTGGCATTCTTCCAAGAAAGGGAGTGGGAAATGAATGGATGTCGAGGGCAATTGGTGTCAATTGCCGGCTGGAATGATATTGCAAATCAAATGCAATAGACAGACATTCCATAGAATGGAATAGACCTGTAGGAGAAAATTCTGTTAAAGTGCCAGATTTTCGAAAAGCTGATTTTAATAGCCTAAGAAATTGTTTGGGTCAAATTGATTGGAAAGTCTTGGGTATGGGGTGTGGGCCGGTCTTGGAGCGAGACATGAACCCAGCGATAGGTGACGTAAATGGGGATTTCGATGTGGATTCAATATATAACTTATTTAAGAATATTCTAAACAAAGCACAGGAACGTAGTATACCATACAAATTGAATAGATCGAATACTAATGACCCAAAGTGGATAACAAAGAATTTGAAGAACCTTATAGGTAAAAAGAGAGCTTGGTACAAAAGGATTAAAAATGGGGAGGTCACTTTAGAACAGGAATTCGTACAACTGGTTAGAAATGTTAAAAAAGAGATAAGGAAAGCAAAAAGAAACTATGAAGTTCGCATAGCAGGGCAAGCAAAGACAAATCCTAAAGGGTTTTTTCAGTTATATCGTACTAAGACTAGGGAAAGGATAGGTCCATTAAAAACTGAGACAGGTCAAATAACAGATAGTGATGAAGAGATGAGTAGTATTTTTAATAAATATTTTGTATCTGTATTTACTAAGGAGGAACTTAACAATATGCCTTCAGCCGAACAAGTCTATGTGGGTGGGGACGAGGACAGGTTGACGAGTTTAGCAGTTACCAGGGAGGATGTTCTTAAACAAATAGTAAAACTCAAAACCAAACAAATCCCCGGGGCCGGATGAAGTGTTTGCCAGGGTGCTTAAAGAATGCAAAGAGGAGCTTTGTGACCCACTGTCAACCATATTTAATAACTCAATAGAGTCAGGCAGAGTGCCGGAGTTTTGGAAGGTTGCTAATGTGATACCAGTTTTTAAGAAAGGAGATAGATCACTTGCGTCTAACTATCGACCAATTAGCCTAACGTCTATTGTGGGAAAGTTACTCGAATCTATAATAGCAAATAAAATTCGTCTTCATCTTGAAAAACATAAATTAATAATTGAGTCGCAGCATGGTTTTGTAAATGGCCGTTCATGTTTAACAAATTTGTTATCTTTTTTTTCTAGCATAGTTGAGGCAGTTGATAGTGGTAAGGATTGTGATGTTGTGTACCTTGACTTTAGCAAAGCTTTTGATACAGTGCCACATGAAAGACTGATTAAAAAGATAGAGTCTCATGGTATTGGGGGTGCTATATTAAGCTGGATTAGGGCATGGCTATACCAAAGGAAACAGAGTTAGTATAAATGGAGTCAAGTCAGAGTGGGAAAATGTTGTAAGTTGAGTGTCTCAAGGCTCTGTCCTGGGACCTCTGTTTATAATATATATAAATGATTTAGATTCAGGGTTGAGTAGCAACATTTGCAAATTTGCCGATGATACGAAAATCGGTAGGGAAATAAATTCGGAGGAGGACTCACTATCACTTCAAGTTGATCTAGATAGGGTTTTGAAATGGTCAAAGGATTGGCAGATGCAGTTTAATGCTGATAAATGTGAAGTTCTGAGGTTAGGTAATGATGATAGAGTTACAAGATACGAGCTAGATGGTGTTGAGATTGCGAAGTCGGATTGCGAAAGGGATCTGGGAGTTATGATTAGTAAGAATTTAAAACAAAAGGATCAATGCATAAATGTTCGTAATAAGGCAAATCGGACACTTGGATTTATTAATCACAGCGTTAGTAACAAGACACCTGGTGTGGTTCTCAAGCTATATCTTGCTCTAGTTAGGCAAGATTATGCAGATTCATTTAGATTTTATCCCATTTAGATTATGCAGTTCAGTTTTGGTCGCCATATTATAGAATGGATATAAATTCACTTGAACGTGTCCAGCATAGGATGACTAAGTTAACTCCCCAAATTAGAAATCTTTCATATGAAGAAAGATTAACAAAGCTTAAGTTGCATTCACTGGAAAGGCGAAGAGTTAGGGGTGACATGATAGAGGTTTACAAGTGGGTGAATGGACATAAGTTCATTCTTAGTTATGATGACATAACTAAGTCATCCTACGCTGGACACGTTCAAGTGAATTTGTATCCATTATATAATACGGCGACCAAAACTGAACTGCATAATCTAAATGGGGGCCAAACCAGAGCAAGATATAGCTGAAGAACCACACCAGGTGTCTTGTTACTAACGCTTCGATTAATAAATCCCAGTGTCCTATTTGCCTTATTAGGAACATTCATGCATTGATCCTTTGGTTTTAAATTCTTACTAATCATGACTCCCAGATCCCTTTCACAATCTGACTTCGCAATCTCAACACCATCTAGCTCGTATCTTGTAGCTCTATCATCATTACCTAGCCTCAAAACTTTACATTTATCAGCATTAAACTGCATCTGCCAATCTTTTCACTATTTCAAAACCCTATTAAGATCAGCTTGAAGTGATAGGGAGTCTTCTTCCGTGTTAATTTCCCTACCTATTTTTGTATCATCGGCAAATTTGCAAATGTTGCTGCTCAAACCTGAATCTAAATCATTTATATATATTATAAACAAGAGGTCCCAGGAGAGAGCCTTGAGGCACTCTACTAACAACATTATCCCACTCTGACTCAACCCCATTTATACTAACTCTGTTTCTTTTAAAATAGCCATGCCCTAATCCAACTTAATATAGCACCCCCAATACCATGAGCCTCTTATTTTTTTAATCAGTCTTTCATATGGCAAGGAGGCGGCGTCTTCCGTGTTAATTTCCCTACCAGTTTTTGTATCATCGTCGACTTCAGCATCACAGAAGAAAGAGGACTCCAGTTTCATAGAAGAAACAAGACTAGCTTCGTAGAAGAAAGATGATTCCATAACTCAAGAGGCCAGCTGTCCTCACCTCGTCTCCTCCGTCACAAGACCACGCCTCCTTGCCTAGCCGACCACGTTGTTGAGAGCCTCAGATCTGCCATGCAGCTGGGTTTAGCCCTGGCTCTGTCTCTTCGACGTTTCCTCTCACCGGCTATTCTTCAGCTATACCCACTTCTCCGCTCACCTCTCCTGCATCGATTCAAGACACGCACCTGGGTTTAGCCCTGCTCTTTTCCTACAACTTCAACACTTCCTCTCACCAACTTCCCTTCAGCTGCCCCCACTTCAAGGCTCGCCCAACGGGTATCTTATCCTGTATCTTCGTATTCATATATAATTTTTACATCTTTCGTCGTCAGCGTTGCAAGAGGACGCACTTGTCTCGCTCGCAGTTTGACTTAGGGAGCATGAGATCGAAAAAAATTGACTAAATCGTATATTTCTGAAATATTTCTAAAAATACTACGAGGTTCTGACAACACCGTGGTGCAAACCGTTTTATGTTATGATGAAAAATACCGTAATTATGGTAAATTTTCCAGGTAATGGTGACAGATAAGAGGCTTGAAAATGACCTAGATGAGAATTATGTATGCGAGTATTGCTGAAAGGCTACACAACGTCATACAGTTACGATTGTGCAACATGATGTGCAAGTGACAAAAAGCTGTAGTGATTGTAATATTTCAGTTACTCGACCATTGATGGGAAATCATGAGAATTTGATATCATTAGTGTACAGCAACATGCTAAATGGCCACGGATATACATATTACAATACTATGTGTTCTATAAATAGAATGAAATTTGTATCATATGTGATGTATAACAGGATCCAGAAGATAAGAGATGCTGCTAATGAGAGATGGGTGCATTTGCAAGAAAACACTCGCAGTATCATAGTCGAACATTACAGAAAACCTGGACATTGGACATTGGCGTCCTGGACATTGATGTGTCCTTTGATGGATCTTGGCATACAAGGGGCCATCATTCACAAATTGACACTGCTTTTGTTGTGGAAATATTCACAGGGCTGGTTGTGGACTACAATACTTTCTGCAAAAACTGCAAGAAGTGCCAAACGTTCAAGCGTAGAAAACAAAATTGAAAGATAACCCAGGCCGAGTTTGACAATGAGATGGGTTAACATTTACCGGATTGTGACAAGAACTACGATGGCACTGCCAAAAATATGGAAGCGGATGCCGCGGTATTGATGTGGGGTCGATCTCAAAACATCCAACTCAGGTATACGACCTTGGTGGGTGATGGTGACTCTTCGGCATTCAATAAAGTTTGTGGAATGAATAATGGTGCTGAACCATATGGAGACGTAAAGGAGGAAAAGGCATAGTGTAAATCACTTCAGCAAGAGACTTGCAACACAGCTCCGCAACTTCCAGAAAACAGCTGTTGAATTGAAGGATTCAAAAGGGAAGACCAGACGAATGTCACTGGCCAAAGGAAAAGGAAAACTAACTGACAGCACCATTCTGAAGTTGGCAGGTTACTTCACAAAAGCCATCAGGAATAACATCGACACTGACTGGAAACAAATGAGGGATGCCTGCCTGTCCGGACTGTTCCATGCACGTCCACTGATGAAAAGCCAGTGCACGTGCACTGCCCTAAAGGCAAAGACTTTTGCTGTTTCTACCAGCAAGACATTGCAAATGGATTGACCCCACGATCATACAAGAAGATGATTGTACATTTCCAGCTACCGAGTATTCACATGACTGAAGACTTTAATCTATCTATGTAGAAGATCTACTACAATCTTGTATCGGAGGACAACGTGACCAAGTGCCTGAAGGGGAAGACTCAGAATCCAAACGAGTCTCTACACCACCGAGTTTGGAAACTCGCCTCCAAAGACAAATATGTTGGTCGTGTAATGGTTGACTTGGCCATGGCAGTGACAACCGTCAACTACAACGCTGGGTATATGATGGGATCTCAGGCCAACCTCCTTGGTCTACCACAGAATGACATGACCGACTGGCACTTCAACATGAAGGACAAGATGATGCAGAACCATACGAGACGCACCACCAAGCCAAGAAAAGCTCCTGAGGAAGCTGACCCCGGCTATGGGGCAGGTGCCTACTAGTGCCATTGCAGTGCCACCTTGAGGACCCATATTTCAGACCAATTATACTAGGTTACTATGTTTTAGTGTTATATTTTGATATTACATCATAAATAATTGTAAATATAAAACTGCTGGCAATCTTTGTTTTTTTCTCCTAATTTTTTTTTCTTTTGTTATCAGGCGATCTTCATGGAACTTACGCACCTTACTGAAGGCATGCCTATCTGCAAGGGTGCAAATTTTGAATGAAATTGGTCGACGTCAACCTCAGAAACAGGTGGCTGAACTTAGACCTTTGTTTTGTACAAGTAAATAATTAACAACTACATGGGAGTTCAAACTCTTCATTTATTATTCAATTTACATGAAACTTGCACATTATATGTAGAGTTTATGCCTCTAAAAACTGGCGCCGATTTGTTTTGTTAAGTACATTTACTGATTTTATAAATATTTATAAAGTTCATTTTGTTGCATAATTTTTGGGGAAAACTTTGAAAATTTGTATTATTGCACTAAATACATTTGCTGTAGAAATATGGCTACAACACCTTTATTATATGGTAATGTGACAGCTGAGTGTCATAGAAATGATTACGGTTGACACGTGTGTTTGTAGTAACACGTTGAAAAATGTTGAAAAATCGTCTAAAATACGTTTTTTTTCTCCCTCTCTATTTAGGCTGCGATGCTGAAACTTGAATCAGTTGCAGCTCTTTTTACATATAAAATGTCTGTAAATTTTGATTGCACTAGAACAACTTTTAACAATCCACCTCATGTTCCCTTAGGCGGCCCACTGCTTGAGCGCTATGCACGCTTACCCCACCAATGTTCCTCACATCTTCTTGATTGAGTAGATGGATCTATAATGAGTGTGCCAGCCACGACTCCCTGTTCCACAGCAGCTATGAATTCTCCAGCCTGGACGAGCACTTCGGTGCAGGCAAGACTAATTCCCAGCCAGCAGAAGTATTGGAGCAGACCCAAGTGCTTCCCAGCCAACACATCTCGTCCTAAGCTGTGACATCTTCCTCGCAGCATCTTCTGAGTATTGTTTAATGTTTTTGTGGGTCGGACTGCATTTAGGTAAACAGCCCCACTTCGGGCCAGAACAGGCCCAGGTGAGAAGTTCACACTTTGCAGCTGTGTCATGGCATAAGTGCATTCTTTTTTCTATTCTCCTAAATTTCTTTCGTTTCTGACACTGCCGAGCCAGTTGTGGAATCTCATGATCGTGGGAGCTGGGAGTTGCAACATTCCTGGACCCAGTGTTAGTGCTTGGTGAGACCTTCAGGTCAGGTCCTAGACCTGGCCTACACACTCACCCCCAATCATGAAACATGCAAATGCAGAAGTCCAAAAATTTGCTCTGTAAAAGGCCATTTTTAGACTCATTGCTCGGCCCACCACCCCAAAATACACTAATTGCCAGGACGCTTATTCAGCAGTAGATAAATCTTGCCCTCTGAGGAAACAAACTCTGAAAACTCTTCGTACTAACCAGCCTACCACTCATGCACAACCTCATTCTTCCCCAACCTCCCAAAACCCCGACCCATCCTCAAACAGTATCAGCCAACTCCATGTCCTCTGCCAGTACCCTTCATGCTTCCCCTCACCAGCATGTTGTTGTTGTTTTAGATTTAGCTTCTCAGAACGAAATACCCATGTAGCACGGGCTATGGTGAGCCCGTAATTAAGTTCGGTTATTGGCAATAACCTTGTTACTGTGATATTTGGGTCAAAGTTTTTAAATGGAGGTGGGGATTCTTCCTTTTTTTCGTGTTTCTTTTTCGTTTCTATTTTAGTGCACTGTTTTTATTCTTGTTTTAATAACATTATCTTGGTAGCGGATGTAGTTGCAGAATTCTCACTAGCGAGACCCATTCCTCAACAGCTTTTCTAATCATTGTAGTCGCGGTGGAATGTGCATCTAATGCAGCTGCTGTCGTTGGATTAATGTTGAGTTTGATGCGCAGGGCTTCAGTAGCTTCACATTCCAGTAAGTAGTGCAACAGTGGCGCCTCTGCTTCTGTTTCACAGATGTGACACTCTTTTAACTATTGGGTTCATTACCTCTCAGCAGCACTTGTACCCAAGCATGAGTCTGTGTATGGCTACTGCAATGTCTGTAGATATTTTTTTGTCAGGCTTGAAATAGTAGTACCCAGTAGCTTGTTCCTACCACATCGCAGTGGATCTTCCTTCCGCTACTTTGGTTCTGTGGCAACTTTTGAAAGTTGGGCGAATTTTCTTTTTGATTTGCTCCTTAATCTGTGAAAAACTTGGAGGTATTTGAACCTGTACAACAGGTAGAACAGTGGCAGTTTTTGCTAGTGAGTCTGCCTTTTCATTACCATCTATGCCAATGTGACTTGGTATCCAATTTAGGGTGACTGACAGCCCTAGATTATGGGCTTCTTTTCCTATATGTTGGATTTCTGTGAGGAGTTGTATATTATCTCTGTGCTGACTGGATAACAATGCCTGGAGCGAAGATTTAGAGTCTGTATGAATGATGACAGCATGTAAAGTATTCTCAATTGTATAGTTTATTGCCTCCTACAGGGCATATAATTCTGTTTGTAATGTTGAGCACCCACTATTCATGCTCCAGTAAGCTTCATGGTTGGTAGTGTAAACTGCTGCCCCAGCAGAACCTCTTTCTTGATCAACTAATCCGTTTGTGAAGATGTGAGTCGTTGTAGGTCTAAAGATAGTTTCCATTTGTTGTTCTATTACTTCCTTGAGCCTCTGCGGGTCACATGCTGATTTTTTAACTGGTAATCCTTCAATGATTATCTTTAGATTCGAGTCTTCCCATGGAGGAGGCTGCCGAAAATGTTGATATGGTCTATCTTCCCTATGTTTTTAATGGTCCATTTCAAGTCCACTTTCTCTAGAATCTTGACCAGAATTATCAGTCCATGCACTTGTTCTATAATGAAGGTTTCTTTCAAGCGATCTGTGTATGCTGTCTTTGATTGACAGTTTTGTTCCAACAAGTTTTGCTGTTATGGTGGCTATCCTTTGTTTGATCCTGTTTTCTAAGGCTGGTAAGTTGGTTTCCATTCTTAGATTCTCTCGACGCGTCCATATAGGTGCTCCCAGCATTATTCTCATAGCATCATTTTGAGACACTTCCAGTTTCTCCCATTGGTTATCACTGAGGGATGTAAGAACAGGAGCAGCATAGTCAATGAGTGACCTAACTCTTTGAACGTAGTACATTTTGAGTACTGGTAGAGATGCACCATCTCTAAGACTTGTCCTCACCAGCAACATCACCACTCTACTACTGCACAATAAACTCTGCCCTCTCCACCTCTCTTCCCTCACCCACCTCCTCCACCTTATTCTCCTCTTCAGAACCTCACACACGAACGAGTCACTGCCTGTGTATTAGCTGCATATCCGAAGGCTAAGGATGATGGGCATGATTTTGTAGACTATATTCCGATTTTTCTCACTCACCAAGGTCTTCCCAGTATCTCTGTCCCTCCTCCTCATCCTCTCTTACGCTCTGCTCCATTCTTACCTCCAGTCCACACTCCACAAACCATCATGACTTCAGCTACTGAGAATACTGTAGGTCCCCCAGAACCACTAACCAGACTGTAAACCCTGTACTATCCCAAACCGGCCCACCCAAGTCCCAAGTACTCCCTACTACTTCCTCTCCCAAGATCGTCCCCTCTACTGCTCATCTCCCATCAAATACTACAACTTCTGTTACTTCCCTCTCAGCCCTGCCAAGCAGCCTTCTGACACTATCTCCCATCTGCTCCAGTTATTCCGTCACTAACCTATTCTGTTTCGTAACGAGGCCGCTCAACTCGTTGTCTAACTCCCGCTTCTCGTAGTCTACCCTCCACTTCTCGTCCCTCCCTCCTTCCACATCCTTTTCAATCAATGTCGCACAACTTGAATCACGCTGTCCTCCTGGTCATCTTGTACACACACAAAATCCCAACAGCAACTTATTCCATTATCAACATTCATAAAGATTATTCAATTAAATATTTCTCCATTAGATACACAGTGTCAGAGTTTAATAAGGCCAAGAGACCTGATGTGCTATTATTAAAGAGCACATTCATTACGAACTCACATAAAATCAAACATTATGGCTGCTCCTCTTACCAGTCACCTGATGAAGCACATGAAGGAGTTGCAATACTCATATACGTTCTTCATACAAATATGAACTTTTACACACTCCTTGGCCTCACAAACATTTCCTAGCTATCAAAGTTCACACCCACATGGGTCCGCTCATCATCTGCACGACCTACATCCGTCCTAACACTGGCAGTTCCATGCAAGACATCACTATTCTCTTCAACCATACTCACTTGCCTGTTTTCCTGCTTGCAGACCTCACTGCACATCATCCTACATTCCACCACACCACCATAAATCAGCATGGACAACAGTTTCATCAACTATAACTTCAAAAACATCTGTTCTTCCTTGGTCGTGACTTCCCCACCTATTTCATACATGCAGCTTCTGGCAAACTTGAGCTTATATACACCAACAGACACGGAAACAACCTCCATCACTATGTTTCACCAGGTCCCATTTCGGGCTCAAATCATATTCCATTCTCAGTCTCCAACAATCCCATTCTCATCCCCAGCACTCCTTATTTCTCATACTACAGGACAAACTTGGACATGTTCAAACAACACATTGATGATACTAATCTCACTTATGAATACAATGACAAACATCACACTGACAGTGACACACAATATACAAAACACCATCATCCTTGCACCAAACATCTCCATTCCTAAAACACCACACAAACCACATTTCACTTTCACCCCTTCCGTTCTCACTAAACGCCTCCCAGCTTGTTATCACTCTCTATGCCTACACAACAGACATCGCTAGGGACAAGTACTCTGGGACCTCACAACACTAAAAAACCACATCCTCAACAGCCTAGAGTAAGACCACACAAAACACTGGAAACACCTCATTGAACAAACAGAACAACACAGAAC